AACTTTACGTGATCTTGATAATAAATAATCTTGAAAATAAGGGAGCAAAATCCATTATTGTGTTATCCATTAACTTTACTCCTAAATGTAATTAAGATATGAAATATCCCATAACTCCAGCAGCCAAAGTTCTTCCTGGAAAAAAAATAATGCCTGAGAGCAGAGAGTGATCTAGTCTGATTACCCTTTGGAATGCTTACATTCCAAAGAATTGGAGCAACTGGAAACAAGATACTGTCCGGCATTTTTACCAGATACATCTACTAAAGATTTCAATACCTAGATAATAAAGATATATTGAATATATCCATGACCACCTTCACTCTATCAATCTGTATTATCATGTAAGAATGCCATGCTTTTGAAATGCAAAGAAGCATGCAAATATTGGGTACTCTGGGCTGAGTTCCTTGCCTTCGCTTAATTATATTCCCTACTCCCTCCCATTCCTACATTCGACAAAGTCAACTCACGTTCCATGAACTCTCAAAAAAGTGGAAAATTTATTTATTTATAACATAGGCAATTGCAGTCCCAAGAAGAACACGGTTCTTATCTGATGCTGCCCCTTTTTCTGATTTCCTGACTGATAGCTTTGGACGCCAGCACAACTACTTGAGAATCTCCCTAACTGAGAAATGCAACCTCAGATGTAAGTCTTTCTATTTTGAATATAAACTAAGTTATAAAATGCAAAGTTTTGTTCTCATAACACAGTGATGGCAAACCTTTTAGAGACCGAGTGCCCAAATTGCAACCCAAAAACCAATTATTTATCGCCGGGTGCCAGGTGGGTGTGGCGCACTGGGTGGGCGTGGCTGTGGTGGTCATGGCAGACTGGGTGGGTGTGGCCAAGGTGGGTGTAATCACCTCAATGTTGCTCCTGGGGAGGGACGCCTGTGGGGGGCCGGGCAGGGTTGGGGGAGATCCAGGGGGTCTCTGGCAGGTGTGGCGGTGGATAGGAGGCTCGTCCTGCTGGGTGAGGCGAGGCAAGGCGAGGCAGGCTGGGGGTGCCATTGTCACAGGGCAAGGTGAGGCAGGTGCCGGGGTGGCTGCTGCCTGACACCATCAGCCGCTGCACACAGAGGCCAGTGAGTGCATGGGTACTGGGCTGCATCTGGCCATGTGGGATCTCGGCGAGTTAGCGGGCAGCTGGTTGAAGAGGGACAGTTGCCATCTCCGTGCGTGCCCACAGAGAGGGCTCTGAGTGCCGCCTCTGGCACGCGTGCCATAGGTTCGCCACCACTGTCATAACATCTTATTAGTGGAGCTATGTTTAGCAAGCGTCTTAATGACTTAATTGCAGAATGCCACACACTGCAATCCCAAAATTGTATTTGTTTCATTGATGCTGTTTCTCGTGCTGAGGGAAGCTGTTCGGGCCAATAGCTTATAGAACGTTCTTTTCCTGCAGATTTAATTAGATTGTGAAATTAAAAGCAAAACTGTTGGATGAAGCAAAAGAGCAGATGTGTTAAAACATATTCTAGTCCAACTTGTTTGGATAACATATCTTCTTTCCCCTGGAGCAGTTGGGAACCTGAAATAGTAAACCCTTATCACTTTCATTACTAAAGCAAAATACAACAAGTTGGATTTGAATAAGTGTTGGCACTTTTTGGATTTGTCTCCTGTTCATCTGTTTTGGTTATGGAACACAGAAAAATATATAGATAACAAAAACAAGAGTATTTTTAATGACAAACATCTTGGAACTGTAGTCTAATTTGTCAGATGTATGTAATGAAGTGAATTGCTAATTCACAAAAATTACTGCAGTGTTTTCTACCTGGGAGCCCTACAAAAGTGCTAAATTTAAGGTGCCAGAATTCTCAGCAATGGCTGTGCTTCCTGTAGAATTCCCATATAGCTGAAGTTTTCACATCTCAAGATCCCCAGGAGCCAGTTTCTTCCTGGGATTATAGCATATAAGATGGCTATCTATAGGATAGTGTGATGTGTAGGTATTTTTTTTTCATTCATTCACTCTTTGTGGGTTTTTTTACAGATCATGGGAGAAAAGGGGAAAGCAAAATATTGTAACCTTATTTGGAAATAGTTTGCTTCTTATATTGGGAAACAAGCATGTCTTAAAACTCTTGACTGCATGTTTCAGGTCAGTATTGTATGCCAGAGGAAGGAGTTCAGCTAACTCCCAAATCCGAATTGTTGAGCACCCAGGAAATCATCTCTCTTGCCAAGCTCTTTGTGAAGGAAGGTGTGGACAAGATCCGTTTGACCGGAGGAGAGCCTCTTATCCGGCCTGATGTGGTGGACATCATAGGTATACTTGTTATAGATACTGTATGTCACAATGCTGGCCTGTACTTTGAAAATTCAAGCAGATCTGTAAGTTTACTCTGCTGTACAAAAATACTAGAGAGCCAATATCAATGTGTATCTTGTGATCCATATATATACCTGTGGGTAAGACAAGACTTTTAGGTGACAAAATACACCTAAAAAAATCAGATTCTGATTATCCATGGATGGGCTTATCCGTCAATAGCAGTAGCACTTAGACTTATATACCACTCCATAATGCTTTATTTGCACTCTCTGAATGTTTTACTATGTCAGCATTTTGCCCCCAACAATCTTGGTACTCATTTTATCGACCTCAGAAAGATGGAAGGCTGAGACAAGCTTGAGCTGGTCAGAATCAAACTCCTGGCTGTGGGCACATTAGCCTGCATATCGCATTCTAACCAATGCACCCTCACAACTATTATATACCATAAAGAGTTCTGGTATATACTGCAGATAGGCAGACCCTCTCATTTTTAACCAAAACACCATTAAAAATGCAAGTCATATGATGGACTACAGCAGGGGTGTCAACCTCAATTTCATTGAGGGCCGCATCAGCATTGCAATTGCCCTCGGGGGGCCTGGAGGGTGTGGCCAGGGTGGGTGTGGCCTACTGGGTGGGAGTGGATGGAGTGGGTGTGGCCTACTGGGTGGGCATGGTTTCGGCATGCAGCGGGGCGCTCTCCTCACAGCGCCAAGAGGTTGAGCCGAGCAATGCAAAGATCGCTAACTTTGCACCTTGCTGCTAGCTGAAACTGGGCAGGCTGGGGACTAGGCAGTATTGCACTTCTCATCAGATTCGCGCCACCAGCTCAGCTCTTGGCGCTGTGAGGAGAGCGCCCGGCTGCCTGCTGAAACCGGGCAGGATGGGAGCTGGGCAGCATGCACCCAGGGGGTGGGGCCGACGCGGCAGGGGCTGGTTCCTCACTGTTTCCAGATGGCCTTGTGGAGCTAAGACTGAATGCATTTCAGCATAGATGGCCACCACAAAATTATACTTCGCAGGCCGCATCCAGCCCCCGGGCTTTGTGTTTGACATGTGTGGACTACAGTGAAAAGGTAATTTCCTGGAAAGGAGGAAGCACATTCCAAATACAAGAGATAATACAGCCAGGAGCTGGATGGAAGGAAGAAGAGATTTAAGATAGACATTCCCTGGAATCTTCCATGATATTTCTGTAACTTTCTACTTCAGTATAGTGGTATAGCTGTAAACAGGCAAGATTCTGTCAATCTAGTGTAAATAAATAAATAAATCAACTGTGGCTGGATTGTTCTATGTTGTTCTTGGTCTGGGTCCGATAGGGTTGGGTGCCACATTTTTCATGGTGTTTTGATAAAAAAAATTTGAGGGTTGGCTTATCCTCAGATGGGTTTATATGTGAATATGTACAGTATATTGATATTTTTATCTTGATTAAGAGTGATGGTGCCAACTAAGGAGTTTTTTAACTAAAAATTTGCAGATCACCAAATTTAGAGAAATAGATATAGATTTCCATAAACAAATTTAGGAAGCCCCAAATGTGATGCTCAAAATCCTATATTATTATATATAAATTACAGGATGAAAGTGTCATCATGTTATTTTTTTTTCTCTTCCTGTTGTTCAGTTTAATATAGTTGCTAATCTTTTGTCACCCCTGTATTTTCTCAGCTCAGCTACGCAAATTAGAAGGGTTGAAAACCATCTCTGTCACAACCAATGGGATCAATTTAGCCAGACTGTTACCCCGGCTAAAAGAGGCTGGCCTAGATGCTATTAATATCAGCTTGGACACCCTGGTGCCAGCTAAATTCGAATTCATTGTCCGTCGAAAAGGTATTTTGAAATCTTCTACAATAATATGTTTAATATTTTTATTATTCTGCCCTGTATGGAACTTACCATATGATAGGGAATAAAGAGCTCAGAACTAATCAGAGAGCATGTATTCTCAATACTTAAGTGATCATTTGATCTCAAATTTCAAGATTTTTTTTAATTACTGCTCAGCATGTTGAGATGAATATATATCACTCTTTACTGTATGGCATCATCTGTAATTATTTAATATATTGGTATGTAAAAAAATTAATAAGCAATGCAAGACTTTTGATTTGTTTCTGAAAAGATATTTCAAGAAAAGGTATACAAGAGCATGACCACAGAATCTACCTGCAAGTATATACCAGAACCTATCTGCAGAACTTATCTGTAACAACTACATTTTTTCCCATTTTCAGCTGCTTGTGGAATATACACATTTACAGTAGTGGCCAAAATTGTGGAAACCTTTTGGGAAAAGTGTACAGTAGAAATGCCACCTTTGGTTAAGTTTTCACCAATTTTTCTTCTAATTTCTTTATAACTGTAGCCTTGTTCACTTAATAATACTATTTTACATCACTTTCTGGGCAACCAGTCAACTCTTTGCACTATTACTTTAATTTTATTACGTTTTACAAGCTCACTAAATGAAAGGAAAAAAAAACACCCAACCAACTTGATAGTGATCACATAACACACTGACAAATGTCCTCCTCTCAGCTTCAATACATGACATCAATAACTGAATCCTACTGTGATCTGATTGGCTCATTGCCAAAACAAGATGACACCTGATTGGCTCTCTAAACACTCATGCTCATTGGCTACAATCAGATGAAGGAAAGCTACCTGATATCAACCTAAGCAAGTTGTGCTTCCTTTTTTCTGGTTATTTGGCTATATCTTTTCATAGGATACAGTACAGATAATTGAACAAACTATGTTGCATTACCTTCTTGATTAAAATATCTTTCCATTGATATATAATTTTATGGTACTACTCCAAAACAAAGTGGTGTTATTAGCCATCAAACCTCAAAAAATACACTTTCCCCAAAAGGTTTCCACAGTTATGTCCCCTACTGTATTTCTGAGCAGCACTGTATAGAACACAGCTTCTCAAAGGCCCTGGTTTCCTGATCGCCTAAAAAATAAATGAATTTGCAAAATATCCTCCATGAATAATTTTGGGGGGATTAGATTGGACAAAAATGTAAGTGACATTTTTAATATGTACATTTTAATCTATATAAAAAAATAAAACAGCAATAGAACCTTAAAACATTTTAAAATAAAACAATTTCATTGGATATACACTCAAAATATAAAACATTTAATGGGAAGAAAGAGTTTACTTTTGCATAATTCCTGAAATCTGAATTTTATCTTCAAGTCAGGACTCTTGTATTTTGTTCTGTATTTATTTTTGGTCATTATTTGTTCTTTATAGCAACAACTGCAGAAAGCCATAACTTAACATGAACGGGATGTTTCAAATTGAACCACTGTTTTCAAAACCTTCTTGGTTAAGTCATAGTAATACATTTTGCACACTAATCCAAATTTCAGAAAGTCATTGTGAGGAATCTTTTTTTTTCAAAGAAGCATCAGAAGAAGTATCAGCAAATGTATTCCTAGCTATATTGGTTTAGCACTCATTAAAATAACAAGTATTAATACTGAACTGCATTAACATATATGCTTCTATAGACATCCCAAGAAGCACAGATATACCACTACAGTGCTATGTTGGTAGAGAGCCAGAAATATTTCTGAGAGAAATTTAACCCAACTATTCTGTTATATGATCAAAAAAGTGTCAAAAAAGTATCTTTATGAACAAAAGTTAATCACAAAGTTTAACTTTTGTTAAACCGCTCTCCATTACAATGGAGAGTCAGTTTGGTGTAACGGTTGAGGCATCAGGAGACCATGAATTCTAGTTCCATTTTAGGCATGAAGTCAGCTGGGTGATCTTGGGCCAGTCATTCACTCTCAACCCTAGGAAGCAGGCAATGTCAAACAAATTCTGAAAATCTTGCCCTGAAAACTACAGGAACCTTTCCAGTCAGTTGTTAGGAGCCAAAATTCACTCAGAGGGGCATACACTGAAGTAGTAGACATAATTCAGGTGAATTATTAGAAAACAAATTAATACAAATTATATCAACTATTAATGATTATGACCAATGTTGAACTGTAACCTTCTTTAAAAGGCAAATGAGTTTACTTTTTGTTGTGTAATAATAGTGCTGAAAGTTTTGGCTTAGCGTAGTAAACTATAATTAAAAATTTGGCAGTGCTGTCTAAAACAGATTAGAAATCTAGAGCTCCTCAGAAAATAGAGGATTCACACTTCCATAATTTCTGACGGTTGGTCATGCTAGATAAGATTAATAAGGAACATCAAGAACTGTTTCAAAGTTTAGGCCAGATTCAGCAATAACCCATTACTGTTACTGGCTATTCTTTTCCCGGGCTCTTGCCCTTTTTTTACAGTAGTTCTGTCTGGTCTAAACAGTGTGCTTGAATTTTCCATTTCAACCCTTACAGTCTACAGGTGTGACTCCACTGCACCAGTGAAAGTATTTAAATTTAAAACGTTATTATATGATATCTCAATAGTGCAGTGAGCTCTTGCTGAAATTGCAGTAGCTTGAGAATTGTTCTCAACTTGGAACTAAATTTTCATAATTGAGTATCAGGTAGGGTTTTATTATTACATTAAGATTAAATCATATGTCTCAGTTGGTTTTAAATTCTAATTTAGAAATAGTTATTGTAGATACTACTTAAAAATGCGTGCGGAAAAGCCATATATTTAGATATTAAGACCATTTACTTGGGCCAATGAGTTATTTAAGGCAGTTACATTATTCTTGAAAATACATTATACCATTTTGAAATCTTTCCTCAGCCACATAAATGAATTTCAGCTGGCAGTGAAATAAATTCAGGTAGATTCTGATTTTGTGGAACTTTGTGTTTCACTTCTTGTTAATGTAGGTGTACATTTTAGGAACACAAATTGCTTTGTTTTGGGGATGATGCTAGGTCAGTAAACCATAAAAAACCTCTCCTACAAATACACAGTTACAGTTTCACTTCTTTAATTTTAAGAATGAGCAAATTTGATCAACTCCATAAGATCATCAGAATTTCAATGCATTGGAATAATCTATACTGATACAGTTTTATAGAAAAAGAGTCCCAAAATAGCTTTACTATCACCACTGTTCCCAGAAAATGGGTATTTTCCTTCAGAATATCAAGGAACACTTATATTTAATTAATGTTTAAATATATTATTTGTGGCAACATCTACTCCAACAGAACCAGGTTTATAATGAAGAGTTTCAATATTTCTGTTATGCTTGTTAATCTAGCAGCCAGAGCTACAACTCATCTGAATGATGCTTGCTTGTGGCAGCTGGATCAAATCTTGACTTTGAGATCTCCTCTCTGTTGGAACTCTTCTTCCTGGAAATACTAACTACTGTTCCATGTAGATAATTTATGAGAAACTTGGCTGGCATATTTGGCATATTTCAAGGGGCCCTGGAGTATTTATTCCAAAGAAAGTATATTTTATACTTTCTTTGGAATAATATGATTGGTTGCTTCACTTTCCCTTTACGGCTAATCACATATGTTACAGCAGCCATTCTGCCAGGTGAAGAACAGAACTGACATGGGTAAGGAACAGTTCAGATTTTCAAAACAGGTATTAGTGCATCTAGTAAAATAAAGATATCCATACATAAGGCATTTAAAGATTAAACTGAACTGTTGGTGGTGGTTGTGATTACAGGGTGGGATAACTTCATAATTTGTAAATGTTTCCATTAAAAGCAACCGAGAAATTGATATGTAAAATGCAACACTATATGTAAATTGGTATCTTAAGACACAAATTGCCTTGGGAGATTGATCAGAAACTAGAGATTTCAGCAGCTTCAATGTGCCATGAGATCATGCACAGAGATTTCTCATGGTAAATAAGAAAAAAAAATGAAAAGAATTGCTACTCTTAGGAAAGAAACATGGTTTTCTCATTTATACATTCCTAATTTCTTACATCCCATATCATTATGAGACACTGATGTTACAAATATACAGGTCCCTCTCCCCTCCACGCCTTTACATTTATTTTTTAATGTAAAACTGATAAAAGTAAAAGAAAAAAGTTAAATTCTTTCAGTTCCCAATGACTTCACCCATAGCATTTTCTCAGCACCATTAAGGAACCTTTTGATATTGCCTGCTAGTTTGTTTGTTTGTACTGGTGTTGTGTTGTATGGTATTGTATGGTATGGTAAAATTTTCACTTTCCAAGTTATTTCCCATCAAATCATGGTTCAGGGCCTTGAAGAAATTTAAACAGTGGGAAAGGTCACCAGCTACTTCACTTTAGAAGTTGTGTCCAGTGAGAAAGAACCCAGAGCTGTGGACTGCAATATTTTCACAGCATGTAGTGACAGGGAAAGCTCCTCCTCCTCCTCCTCCTCCTTCTATGGAAGAAAGCATGCTGTCCCTACTAACAACAACGGCAAACCATCTGTCTCACTGAACAGTAATCAGATTCAGTTACGCTTATATAACATGCTGGAAAATGCCTCCGCTCCCACTTTTGTAAGAGTACAAATGGTGCTGCCGAAGTGTGGGAATGGAGATGAGTCTGGAATAATTAGTTGTGAATTAATATGCATAATGTGTACAGCGTATGTGAAAGATAATTAACTGAGAGTTATGTTCCGTTTCCAAGTACAAGTTTCAAATGTTTTCAAGTGTTGCGTGTTTCTCTTTGTGAAAGCATCCTCTTTGCTTTTTACTAACAAACTTAGTGGTGATGATAGGAGACAGCATAGAGACAAGATAAATATTGCTTAACAGAATCAATTAAATGGACTCCAAAATTGAAAGCACACATTTGAAACCATGTTAATTTGTTTGGAATGGCTGTAATCTGTTCATTGCAGGGGAAATGCCCATATGGAACCACTAGATGGTGATACAGTGTCAGTTAAAACTAATGGAGGCATAGTAGGGAAAAACAGCCAATAAAAGTGACTTTAATCAGCTCAAGATGTTTGCACATTTCCCTCTGTGTTACATTTAATTGTTTCTAAATATGGATTGTGCTACATAGAGGAATCTCTGAATACACAGAGAAATCTTACCCTTGTGTGCTTGCACATTTAAATATTAAAATATTTTTGATCATATATCAAATTTTAGAAAACTTTATTGCAGAGAGATAAAGTTTGAATGAATCCAGCAGGATCATCTCCAATTCCACCACAGTGCAGTCAGTTCGTAGTGATGCCTGGGGATGTGTAACTAATGTTTCAGACTATTCATTGTTGCTAGTCAAGGAATTAGATCTGCTCCTATAAAATGAGAAGGTATTAAGTAGGTTGACTCCAAACTATTAATATTGTTTTAGCAGGCCCAGTGCTCACCCAACAAAGTAATGATCATGATCTTAAAAATAGAATTAAATAAATTAATTAAAACAAAAACAAATCCATTAGCGGTGACTTCCAGAATGGTATAGCTCTAAAATTTATGTATCCCATCCTTATTTATTTACTTCTCAAATTTGTATGCCACCGAAGACCCAAAGACACAAGGAAAGTTTATTTATTGCCAAGGCTTCTGGACCACTTCGGTCATAACCAACTTGTAAGTAGCAAATACTCCACTTTTGTAACAAAGCTTAACACAACATACAAAAGCATTAATAACCAACTTCCTAATGCATGACTGAAATGTTCACCTGTATGTGCAGGTGTCATTTCCATCTGAATCCCTATAGGCTTTCTGGATAACATTCCTGAATTCCAAAAAAAATTGCAGCCACTCTGCCCTTAAGGTGAATTCTGTTCCATAGGAAAAGGGAGGACCAGAGAGGGCCTGGGTTCAAGCCTGCTGAGGGTGACTTTTTCTCAGGGTAGGCAGTTAGATCAGTGGTTCTCAACCTGTGGGTCGGGACTCCATTTGGGGTCGATCGACCATTTCACGGGGGTCACCAAGCAAGGCTGTCCGCCATTTTTTTTGTCCGCCATTTTTTTCCCCTTTTCCGGCGGGTGCCTTACCTCCCTTGGGCTGGGCCAGCTGGTGGTCGGCCTGCTCCGTCTCTGCCGCTTGCCAGCTACGCCTCGGCCAGTGCAGGGGGCGGAACCGCGCATGCGCGGCGCTCCCGGGCAGGGAAAGTCCTCGACTTACGACCGGTTTAGTCCTCGACTTACGACCGGTTGGGGTCGCGGCATTAAAATGGTTGAGAACCACTGAGTTAGATGGACAGATACCGCTTGGGGCAGGAAAACCTAAAACAGGCAGGTTTAATGTTTCCTGTGTGTTGCTGCTATAGAAACATCACATTGGGTTTCTTATCTCAGCAATTTTTTTATAGCTACTCAGTCCTTTATAGGTGCTTGATGCATTTATCCTTAAAAAAAAATATTGATGCTTCTTTTGGGCCAGTGTTTCCTTAATTGCTTGATATTCCTAAAGTTGCATGGAAGTTCTTTTCTTTTTGATTTCCTTCCATGCCTTTCTGCAAGCAGGACTGATTCCTGAATATAGTAACTCTAGTGTTTTCATTGTATGCTGTGTTCCCCGAAGTCATGTTTAGTCTGCAAGCTTATTTTATTAGAGTAAACCTTTGCAACTGAAGTCAGAGGTTTTCAGAGTAGCAGAGTAAAGAAATAACAAACACGTTTTGACATCAAACAATTATGGTAGTCCATGTTATTTAATTCTCATGACTGCCCATCCCACTCCTCTTCTTTCGTGGAATAACAATGTATTTTTCTTTTCCAAATATTTGGGATTACATAAAGTACTTTATATTCCTTTTGAATAAACATCTCTTATGTCAACACGATTGGAGAGATGGTGAAAATTTGTGAAAAGTCTTGATTTCTCTCTACATTTGAAAACACACTCAACATAATGTTACGTATGTCTAAAGCCCATTGTGACTACTCCATATAAAAATATTTAGACTTGTTACTTAAACAAATCTGTTACTATATTTCATTTGTTCTATATAGCAAGGTAAGCTCTTACTTAAATGTGTCTGATAGAGTCATGAATAAATCTTTAAAAGAATGCAAGAATAAATGTATACATTTATTATAAATTTTATAAATTTATACATTAATATTGCATTCAGTTTATGTGTTTTATAAAAAGTTTTGCTCAACTTTTTCTAAATAATTACATTTTGGTATTTTAGGATTCCACAAGGTAATGGAAGGAATACACAAAGCTCTTGATCTTGGCTATAATCCTGTTAAGGTGAGAATATTCTCTATTAATAATCTTGAACTACATAGTATTCATCCTGTTACACAAAAATATAAACTCCAGGCTGTGGATAGAGTTTGCCTGCAATACTGCATTCTAATCACTCCGCCACCACTGTGCAAATGTAGTTTTGGCATACTCATGTCACATCTCATATGTTATTTTTAAGTATTTATTATTTAAATAAATGCAGTGCTATTGCTTATTTGTTTCTTATCCCAGACTAAAAATGGTAAAGACTAGAAGCCTAAAGGTTCTGCTGATTAGGAGTTATGGGAAATGACCTGCTGCCCAAGGCAATTGGAGATCCTCAAGTTGGGAAGGCTGGTGTAGTGTCTTAATCCTAATAATTAGTTTTGGTAATAATTTCCCAATACACTTTTTTTTAAAAAAAATATCCTATAAAGGAAACATAGGGAATAATTGTTCAGTAATAGAAAGCGCATTATCTAGATTGTGCCAATTATCTATTGTGCCTATGAACTGACTTTGGATCATTTCTTGGGACCATTCACTCACTTTTTCTTTTAGGTGAACTGTGTGGTTATGAGAGGACTCAACGAAGATGAGCTGCTGGATTTTGTTTCTTTTACAGAAAAGCAGCCCCTGGATGTCCGCTTTATAGAATACATGCCTTTTGATGGTGAGTTCTTGAGATTACACTTGGCTTCAAAGTCTAAAGTAAATGGAGTGGGCAGATTCCTATTCCTGCAAAAGATGGTGATGGAATGTCAGCTTAGAAGTGCCTTCAGCCTCCATGGCCTATAGAGGAATCTCTTTGGAAAGGGACAATGCCAAAGTATTGGCATTACTGGTATTTTTTATTATTGATGTTGAATGTCTCTGACCTTACAGTTTCATGGCAGCAAAACACAACTAATGTATTCCAGATATTCCTACATTTATACCTTAGGTTTTACTAATTTACTATTATTATTACACTAGGAATTGCACTGGGATGGGTTTTTCAGAGACTTCTGCTCCACCCACTTCAGCCACTGTTTTTTTATTACCTACCAATGCATCTCAACCATTGTCTGGTCACATAGTATCCCGGATGACAACGTGCTATAGTTAAAAACATGTCTTTTGTATTATAAACTCCCACAGTCAATATCAGCCTTATTTGATCAGTAACGTTTCTTTCCTTCTTACTCTAGGCAACAAGTGGAACTTCAAGAAAATGGTGAGCTACAAGGAAATGCTGGATACAATTAAACAAAAATGGCCGGACTTGAAAAAGTTGCCCTGTGAAGCTTCTAGCACTGCCAAGGTGAATATTAGTATAATCAAAGGGTCAGTAATTAGAGTTTTTTGGTCCACTACTTCAGTGCTAGTTGATTAGCTATCAGGGAAGGAGAGAGATGATGCAGATTCTATTGTCCTGCTAGAGCTTTCTTAGGTATTTTGACAATTATGCTATTGGTGATATTGGCTCAAAACTGTGCCTATTTATTATTAATTTTTTAAACTTATATGCCACCCATCTCACCTAAATGTGACTCTAGAGTGCTTACCACAAAATAAAAACAATATAAAACATTAAAATATTAAGATAATAATAAATATTTACATTAATATTAAAAAAGATAGCTAAGGGAGGGAGCAAGTTAAAACAAGGTGGTGGCATTATCATCTGGCAGTCCATTAACCACCTCCACCAGTATGACATGCCCCCATTGGGGTCCCAGGTGAATTGGCAAAGCCAGGTTTTAAGAACCTGCAGAAAACCAAGAGGGTTGGTACAGATCTTACCTTGAGGCGAGATGGCCAGAGCCACAGCAGAAAAGGCTCTTCTCCTAGGCCCCACCAGGCAGAATTCCTTGACCAACAGGGTCCACAGCATGCACACACACACACGGGTCCTCAGCATGCACCTTGAATTGGACTCTAGGGTGGCAACCAGTGCAACTTGCCTAACAGCAGTGTTATATGGGTCACCCTAGGGGCCCCAAGAATTATCTGTGTGGCTGCATTCCTTGACAGCGCAGCTTCCAAATATTCTTCAAGAGTAGCCCCATGTAGAGAGTGTTGCAGTAGTTCAGAGATGAGATGTGTGTGTGTGTGTGTGTGTGTGTGTGTGTGTGTGTGTGTGAGAGAGAGAGAGAGAGAGAGAGAGAGAGAGAGAGAGAGAGAGAGAGAGGGAACCAAACTTATTCTGACTAGAAAAAATGCTTTGTAAGCTGTAGTTATTTAAGTATTGCCTCAGTTTTCAGAGTAAATTTATTACCATTACCTTCATAATTGTCCCATGATAAGTTTCTGGTATTACCTACTACACATAAAGTATTCTGTGTTTGCTTTTATGTAAACTATACATGAGGTATTATGTCTGGGAATTTTGGTCATTTTACAGTTATATCCATGACAACTGCTGTTGTGTTTATAATATAAATGTGCTCCATAATATATGTGATTTGTACATGATTTGCATAATGTTTCTAACAGAGAAGTATGCACCACATAAGAATTTTAAAATAGCCTTCATCTAAACACATATCATTAAAATGTTGTCATGGATTTTTCCATCTAGCATGTAAGATCTTTTTAGAAATAAGTTTAACAGGAAATTGGTAAGAAGATAACACTCCTTATAACGCTAGTGTCTGCTCTTTATCATAAAGATAATATATATCCCTACATATTGAAGGAATAATATAATCCCAGATTCAGTAATTGATTTCCAGTATAGTATTGCTACATGAATACTTCTGGTGATTTTTAACCTCATGGTAACATTTCATTCTGTAAAAGCATTTACAGAATTTCTTGTCAGTGTCCTACACTTTCCCCATAATCTATCTACTTCACAGTTATTAGGAGTGTACAAAATTAGTTGAATTTGTACTGTACTTAATTAGAAAGGTGCCGCTTTCAAGGGTAACACAGCTATTTTGAGTGTAAAATGGGTTGAGCTAAGATACTTCTATAAAACTCAGAATTAGCCCATGTCATTAATCTCTGATTGACTTAGGCATGCTGGGATTACCCTTGGATGCCACAGGTGAATACAGCAATTTGATTAGTCCACCCTATAAGGTTTCAGGGGGAGATTGAGGTCTTTCTTGAGTATCTGATGAGTGGCTTGATAGAGCCATTGGTCACTTCCTGAAACGGATAACCGTGAAAGGAGTTGGATTGGATTGCTCACGTGTGGCTTCTTACTGTGAGTCAATCCCAGGGAATTCTTTGGTTCTCTGAGAAGACGAAATGCCAGAAGAGATACTAAAAATGCCATTAGAAAGGAGACAAAGAATGAATCCAACTGAACATGAATAAAAATATATATTAGAGATTGCATCGTGGTGATAAAGTTGGCACTTGTATTTCAACTGTAGACAACTGTTCAGAGAATTTCTTTTAAGGTGACTTGTTTCTAGCTAGGTAGAGAGGAAGCTACAGGGTAATCTGGAGAGCTGCATCTGGTGGATAAAGCTGCACAGAATTGCTTGGGACTGTCCTAGAGGTGTTCAGTTCCTATTGAATTGACAAAAGCAAGGTCTTGTAGAGTTACCTGGAATGCTTTTGAGCCAGTAACTGCTGAGGATCCTCAAATCCACTAAACCAATTGCCTATTCATTGGGGGTCACTCCTGGCTGGTTAAAATCACTTGGTGGATACTGTATAGTTGGATCTACGCAATAATATTTGTTTTGCTGAAGAGGGGGTGGTACAGCTTGCCTTGAAGGAAGTGATGCTTCACCCCCTCCTTAAGAAGCCTTTGCTGAAGTGGATAGGCTTGGACAATTTTCATCTACTCTCTAACTTTCACTTCTTGGGGAAGATTATTGAAAAAGTGGTCATGTTGTAGCTTTCGAGAGCAAGCTGGAAATGGATAATCTGGAAAATAGAAGTTATCTAGAACCTTTTATGCTTGGTTTTATAATATTGAGATAGTATGATTCATACTTCTCTCTAATTTCTGACAGAGCTGGGACATGAATAGTGCAGCTATCATGATTCTCTTTGATATCTCAGCATTTTCAAAAGTACTGTCAACCATGATATTCTTTAGGGCCATCTATAGGGATTTGGAGTGGTAGATACAGTGTTCTAGTAGGTTATCCTTCTTTTTTGTGTGTAGTTGAATCCAGTCTGCCTATCCTATATATTCCAGCATATTTGGTGTGTTCTGGGTCCCACTGACTAAATAGTGTCATCTGATGGGATTTGAAAGTGGGCCTTTTTAAATCTAGCACCGCCTTCTAGAATTATATCCCCTGAGAAATTTGCTTATTTGACCTTATTCAGGTGAACCCTTAAAATCTGACTCTTTCCCCAGGATTTGAGCTAGAGTGGAGGGCAGATGTCTTATAGTGATAATTAGTTTTATCAGAATTGGGGTTATTTTTCTGGACATCTGCTTTTTGTATTGTTTGCAGTTTATTGTTTTAAATGGATACTATATGTTTTCCAGAGTCATGGTGGAGTCAGGCAGCCTATAAATCTAATTAATGCATTTAATAAATACATTTCACATTGGAGACAGCTGCTTTGTGCTTGAAGCAGGGTGTTTTGAATTTGAAAAAGTTTGAATTCAAAACATTTTGCACATCCCTAACTTCTTTCACAAACTAGAAGAAATTTTAGGAATGAAGTAGAAATGTTTTGATTATTATTTTTTCTTTTTTCCCCCCAATTTTTCTCTCACATTTTGCTTTTAACAGGCATATAAGGTACCACATTTTCAGGGGCAAGTCAGCTTCATCACTTCCATGTCTGAGCATTTCTGTGGATCCTGCAATCGTCTAAGGATCACAGCTGATGGGAATTTGAAGGTAGTCTTATTGCTTTGTCTGTTGGACCATGGAACCAATTATTTAGGGAAATGGTATCATTTACTGGATGTTTTCAAGCAAAGGCTAACACCAATCTGTCTGGAATGCTTTAATTTGGACTCCTATGTTAAGGGGGTACAACTTGGTGAATGATTACGATCAAGATAAATATGATTATTTATTTGATGTAGACAGAGCTCATAAAATGGGCACTGCATTCAGAACAGGTTTAAACACTCTTAGATAAATATTCTCTAAACAGAAGTAATAAATTATATAACAATTCCTGTTCAGTTTATTACATGAAGCAAAAAGTATTTTTGCTATTCCTGAATTTTCTTTTCTTTTCTAATACAGTATATTCAAATATGAAAACTAATGGGAAGTAAATATATTATATAAATATAATCTTTTATTTGAAATTGTCTTGTAAGTGGCAATTGGCAACCACTATTAAATCCGACATGTGGGGTACAGACCAAGTAGTGAGATGGGAAGAGACGCAAGGAGAGAATGATCAATTTTCCTGTCACGTTGAAAGTTGTTATTTGTAATTAGTTCAGACTTGGTACTTAAAAGTTCCAATTCCCACAATTGGTGACAGCAAGCATTGCATTAATATCTGTTGACACTAAGTTAGAGCAAGTTCATTAGCTGAAATGACAGAGCTGGATTTTAATGTCCTTGAAATATTCAAGTCAGTACTTTGAGTCATGCTAGGAGAAGCTTAAATTAAAGCACCAGCAGGTGGCAACACTTAGCTGATCTTTGCTGATCTCAAAAGGACTAAGGCAACATGGGATATAGTAGTTGGACTGAAGACCACTAGGAAACCTTGGTGCTGTAGGTTGTACTAAGACATTTACAACAACAAAACAACAATAACAACAACAAAAACAGGTAACAGCAGCAAACCATTTCTGTTTTATTGCCAAGAAAACCACAATAATGTGTTGATATAGTTGTAAGGAGTCAAGAACATTCAGAAGCTACAGCTGCTACAGAGTGCAGCAGTGCAGACAGTTCTTGGGGCCCCAAGAATGGCCTTTGTAACACCATTCCTCCACAAGCTGCATTGGCAGTGGGTCTGCTTCTGGATGCAATTTAAGTTGTTGGTAATCACCTTTTAAGCCCTTCATGGCATGGGGTCCAGGCTACTTGAGGGACCATCTCATCTCACTGGGATTGGCCTGCCCTACCCATGCCAGCAGAGAAGGCAGGCTATAGGCCTCATCAGTTTGATTATTCCAGCTGGCAGGATCTAGGGGAAGGGCCTTCTCTGACATTGCACTTGCCCTCTCTCAGCCCTTGGAAGGAGGCAATGACAAACCGCTTCTGAAAACCTTTCCAAGAAAACTGCAAGGATGTGTCCAGGTAGTCTTTGAAAATGGGACACAATTGAACAGAGGGGAAAAAAATAACATTAAATTAGCTTCAGATCGCAGCATTTAAACATGTTGCCTTCCCAAACCCTGCTCACCGTTTAAATTGTTGTACTGTAATATTCAACATGCTGGTGGAACATGATGAAGATTGGGAAAGATTTACAATTACCCAAGCCAGATTATGTGGAATGATATTCTTACATTTAAAGAAGGTATGGGATGGAGAGAGGTTTCCTCCACAGCAGATGCAATTATCAGGTGCATCTCAGTTGCAAAGAACTGGAAAATATAACCTGATTGGAATTTGGGAAATCATTCTGTAGCCTATATACATACAACCTCTGTCCTAGAGGCTGCAAAGCCTGAGTCCTTCCAAAGGAAGGGGCACTTTTTAATTCAACAGTAAATATTAAATGCCTACTTAAGTGCATTTAATTTATGTTAAAATAAATCTAGCTCTTGTCCTGGCTCCATCCACTTAATTGTCCAGATCACACTCCATTTTTTAGATGGCAACTGCTGGGATATCAACCAAAATCCAAGTGCACTCCTCAACCCAGAGAAAATCAGTACCTTTGATAGAATGTTAGGTGCAAGTCAAACATTTTAAATTCAAAATGTCCTGACTCCTGAATGTCATTCTGACACTAAACCTTCTAACTGCAATTGGAGGTTGGAATGGTCTGTTTCAAAGTTTGACCTCAAAATGTTTGCATTGCAGTAGAACATGCTATCACTTCCAAAGCAAATATTGCATAGGAGATATGCCCAACTTGAGAATGTTGCATGTTAGCATCCAGCCTGTACTGACTTCTAAGTCCTCATACTTGGAAGAACTTCATAAAATTGAATAAGCAAGCCTACATTAGTGCACACCTTTGTTGGGTTCCTGCAGTTCTCAGAGATGATCTTGGGACTGCTGTCCTACTATAATGGTGTATGAGAATGAACATGGGAGACGGGAAGAGACACAGCCAGGGAATGGTTAGAGAAGAGCAGCTTGACCCATAAAAGAAATGTGGGTAGCTAAACATCTCAGAAGGGATTCTCCCTAGATTTTGGGGCGCTAAAGATGATGGGGGAGAAATGTACTTTCAGACTTATAAAATTCTGTCAATGTAATCTTGCCATAAAGTAGACCTAGTTCATCTGGATGTACTTCTTCTCTTGACTACCTTGCAAACTGACACTTGTTATTATTGCTGATAGTCTGGAATGGAAGACTTACCTAAAATTGGCTTCTTGGCTCTAGTGAGAAGTACTGTTTTATGGCTGCTTTCCATCTTCAGATAGTGTAGGGCAGGGGTCTTCAAACTCGGCCCTTTTATGACTCATGGACTTCAAGTCCCAGAATTCCTCAGCCAGCATGGCCTGGCTGTGGAATTCTGGGAGTTGAAGTCCATGAGTCATAAAAGGGCCGAGTTTGAAGACCCCTGGTGTAGGGATTGCCTGCTTGCCTTTTCAAGATAAGGATGTTGCCAGCTGGCGTTTTGAACAGTCATTGCCATTGCAAAACTGATCTATTGTGGGAGCAAGCAACGTTTTCTTTTGAAAGATAATCTGGAACTAAAATGTTTTGAAGATTTAATGAACTTTTCTCTATTGCTACGCCCACATAACCTGATGCAGAATGGGTCTATGTCATCCTCTCAGCTCACCTTCTATTCTTGTTTCAGGTCTGCCTTTTTGGAAATTCAGAAGTGTCCTTACGGGATCACTTACGAGGTAATGCCTCTGAAGAAAAGTTGATCCAGATCATTGGGGCAGCTGTTGACAGAAAAAAGAAACAACATGCAGGTATGCCATTTCGTGGAGGGTTTTTTTTTCTCTCCAAGATGCTTAGCCAGAGCTGGACTATTAAGAGTAAGCACAATACGGCGCAAAAGTCTTAAAGTGAAATCAAAAGTTATGATTTAAGGATTTATAAAATGCTTCCAAATCAAAATTGATCAAGACTACAACATATCAGCTCTTGAATTTAAAACAGATTATTCTAATCTTGCTGGCAAGAGTTCCAGGACTGTTCCATTTCATCCAAAAAAAGAGTTCCAGGCTCAAAATAGCATTATTTTGATCTCAAAATAGAGATCAAAAACTGAGACACTCGTTAGTAACAGAAAATCTGTTTTGTTCTTGAAACATTTTAAATTAAAAAGAATTTGCACACTACAATAGTTCTGCTGTACTTTATGCTGACAGGAATTAGGAAGTATTGATTTCCATTTCTTGCAGTCTTCTCATGTTGTCCAAATATATTACCCTGTTTGTTCAGAGTTCACTTTAGGCGTGTGTATGGGACAGAAGGGAGGAAAGGAATGGCAAACACTCCTGCCAACTGTGACATGATGTTACTGCATTCCTAGGCTGTCTAAAAAAATCTAAATAAAGTTTTGCCCCTATCCACTGAAACATTTCCTGACATTGTTTCATAGCGTATAAGTCCTTTGATTAAGGATCATAATTGGTATTTTATTTTGGGGGTAAGTCCTTCAAATTATGTCGTACGCTGCTGTTTTTCATTTCTCATGTGAATTGTTTTCATAGTCTGGTTTTGCTTTCTCTGTTTCCCCATTCAAGAGATGATTGCTTAATTCTTAGAATGCCAACATCCATACCATCACCAACATTTTTACTTTGTATTTTTTGCATTATTTACATTGATATAAAATCTGGGAGTATTAATAATTTTTGCATGTTCATTATTTTCTTCTCAGGTATGTTCAACATTTCCCAAATGAAGAACAGGCCAATGATCCTCATTGGTGGGTGACCAATCAGTACGTAAGAAGTACTTAAATTATGCAAAATGGTCCAGAAACTGTAAACAGAGGCTAAACATTTTCTAAAGAAGAAATAGAAATATGCACACATTTTCTTTTTTAAAAGCATTATTTGGGGCATCACTTTTGGGGCATGCACATCAAACTAATGCTGGGTGTGCATTTTGCTAATGCAGCAGTGTGGAAGTTTCTGAGCCTCCATTCTCCAGGCTGTAAGTGAGAATTTATTATGTAGCTGTTCCTCGGGGCTCCATACTTAAACCCACTTTAAGATCTGGTATATTGCTAGAATTAGAAGGATGGGATATAGATAATTTGGGAAATGGGAACAATTAACTACTAGCGTTTCCACAGCATGGGAGAACCATGTGGTAAACCATACATTTGGAGGTTTGCCTGTAATTGAATAAGACATATGTGGGGGAGAGCAAAGGAAGCTGGATGTAAAGACAGGCTCCTTCCAGCTGGTTTTGGAATGGGAAGTTGGCTGCCTAACACAGCTTTGTATCTGGGACTTAAATTATATCTGGTAAGGCCATGCATTCTGCACCTCGGGAAAAGCGACCACTGACTTTCTTTCTGCAAATAGCATAGTTTTTGCGACTGGGGTAGAACCAACTTTGTTATGATTTACAGACTAGTGCAGGAATATACAGAGCAACTCAGGCAGCTTCCCAATTTAATTTGAAATGGATTACAAAGTTCCATGAAGGCAGCTCCTGTGTGAATCAATAGGAAATGAATAGAAGGTCCCAAGTCCAAAAGAGGACTGTAGTGAACGCTATGGAAAGAATAAATTGTCCTATTCTCCCTCTCTTATTTTTCTTGAATGCTTCAGCAGGTTTCTTTTTCTTAAAATACACTTTAATCTAGTGTGGAAGGCTTGATGAATTGTACAAAAGGACTTCTGTAAAACAAGATACCAGTGCAAAATTATTGTAAAAGCTAACTGAAAACTGAACATAGTCTGAAACTCTGTATTGACTTACTCTAGTTGCCATGTGCTGTCTTCCTTTGCTTTCATGAAGTCATAAGCACGTAGTCTGTTTATGGGAACAGTCTCTCCTACCAATCTTGGTGTGGATCTTCTCTGCTTCTCATACACCATACAATACCCTTAGATTTATATACTGCTTCACTGCTTTACAGCCCTCTCTAATCAGCATATTGTCTCCAACAATCTGGGTCCTCATTTTACTGACCTCAGAAGGATGGAAGGCTGAGTTAACCCATGCTATGAATGTTTTTTCAGTACAGTTTTCTCTCTAGTTATATAATAGTTGAAAAGCAAAGCATAGGGACCCATTTAACAATGGTGTGCTGTTGGGATTACAACATTGCAATTTTCACTTAAAGGCCGTGTTGGCCAGGAATTTGGGGAAAAGGAATCCCAACATTTTGGAAGAATGCCCAGTTTTCTGTAACCTAAAGTTTACTCCCAGATTTGCAAAGATAGACAGACTTTTACGTAATGTGTTACAAAATGTCTGTGGCAGGTATCAAATGTCTCTGTGGTCTCTAATGGAAGAGGTGGGGAACCTTGTGTGTGCAAAAAGAAGCGGATAGAAAGGGAATGTTTCATAAATTGACTTCAGCAGTCAGAAATGCTATGCAGGAATTCTGTGTTGCTCTTCAAATTACCCCTCTATGAATGCAACTGAAAACTACACAGGATCTTAGAGATCAGTAGAGTCAATTAAAAACATATTCTGATATAAAGTAATAGGGATGAATAACCTCAGAACAACCTGACATCTATAAAACTTCAAAATTAAATATATTTTTGAATTAAATTAAAATGATTAAAATCTGACAAGCTTTCCAAATCTCATGATAACTCATGTTCTCATTTGAAAACATGGGAGATGAGATTACTCAAACATGAAAATCAGCGAGAGAGAGAGGAAGAGATCAAGACCCAGTCTTACCCCCACACACACACACACACTGCACAGCAATAATGTGATTTTATACAACAACTGTCATAATGATTGTTAACTCCCTATTGTATAAGGATCAGAAAATTCGGTTCTAAGCAGATACTGAAATATAAGAACTTTTTCCTATTATACATCTCTTCTTCTCTCCACCCATTAATATCACTTGTATGAATTTTTCTTAGAAGATTTGAACGTGTACATGGATGATTTGTATGTACTGGTGCACTCTCACTTCTAACATTAACGTTGCCTAATTAAGAACTAAAATAGGAATTAAAGTTGTAGCTTTCAAGATTAATTTAGGGTTTGTTCATTTCAATTGATGTTAGGACTGTGAGAGGAAGAAGTCCCCAAAGTTTGCATGGGACTTGTTGCCCAGTCCCTCTGGAACAGCTAGCTACATACATTCGCAGTGTAGAGATAATGATGAGAAAGTAGACTTGCTGAATTCTAATCTAAGAATATAATATTCTCAGATGGGCACCACATTGTTGAGCTAGGCAGGGAGAAAAAGTGACATGCATGGCACATACTTGATAGGCTGCAATAATTTCAGTGATGATCTTAGCTATCTTTGATCAGGGTAGGCCAGTGATGGCGAACCTTTTAGAGACTGAGTGCCCAAACTGCAATCCAAAACCCACTTATGCATCGTCGAGTGCCGGGTGGGTGTGGCCCATTGGCTGACTGTGGCCAATTGGGTGGGCGTGGCCAATTGGGTGGGCGTGGCTGCAGTGGTAATGGCAGACTGGGTGGGACTAAAAAGTTCAATCAATCAATTCCAACTTTGCAAGATCTTTTTTTCCCCGCGAGAAGTTGAAATTGACTAATTGAACCTTTTTTTTTTTTTTGCACATGGCAGCAGAGGCCTAAAGCGAAAAGGTTTTATAAAACCCAGCTGAAGGCCTAGGACTGGGGCGACAGCGTGCATGCCCACAGAGAGGGCTCTGAGTGCCGCCTCTGGCACCCGTGCCATAGGTTCACCACCACTCCCTTAGGCTAATATGTCCCCGCTTAGTTCCAGCAATTGAAAGTTGTAAGAAAGACTCTTGCATCCCAAAAAGGAAACTAGAGCCATGAACAGATGAGAGATAGACAGACCATGCTTATGCTTCTGGGGGAGAAAGGCATTCTGCTGCATCACAAACAAGCCTTGACACCCTTAAGAAATCCTCTGAAAAATACGGTGGATGGGTGCATTGAGCAGCATTATTTCTTTCTTAGTGTCTTAGCTATTGGAAATAAAATAGAATTGCTATCCTCCCCACCCCAGAAAAATTCTCATTGGAAAACAAAAGAGAGAGATACATATTATTAAAGAGAGATTTGGCTACTTCATCACATCTACTTTCCTTTTTCCTCTCTTGTATCTAAAAAGCGTGCTTTCCATTATGTTTAATAGTCGCCTTTTAACTTGGTCCTTGGCACTAGGCTCTAGCGTGGCCATAGCCAAGGGATTAATGAATGAGGGCTGATTCCCAGTAGACTTGGAATTGAAACTGACCCAGATAAAGATAACACAGATCAAGGAAGGAATACGAGCTCTTGGCAGCACCATGCCAAGCGTGACATCGTTTTGTTAATATGGCCAACTTGGCCTTTCATTTTCCTTGGGTTATTCCCATGTTGTGTATACAAATTGCATTTGAAGTACCCAACATTTTTCAAATACAGATTGTCATGTAACATGGGGAGTTGTCATTCAAAAATCAGTGCCAAGTCCTTTGAGTTGTGGGCAGCTACTTTCGGACAACCGATAAGAATCCTGGAAAATTTAAGAAAAGATTCCTTGTTCAGAAGGGTATTTTTTAGAAGGTTTATTTTTCTCTCTGTGTTTTATAGGAGTTTGTAGAACTCTGTGTAAAATCAACAGTGGTTTTTCTCTTCTAGCAAGCTAAACATCTGAACTTTTGTTATTTTTTTCCCCCAGAGGCTACATCAAGGTCATTTCCACTGCTCCAAGATGCCCTGCAGGACCAAGCAAATTTCAATGAGTGGGGCCTTATCCAAGGCCACTGCCTGACTCTGAAAGAAAGTTTATCCAAACATATGGGGAAAAAGTTTAAAACAAATATGTTTACAGGACACCATGCCTTGCCAGGATCTTTCTCGGCACGACAGCTTGCATCAAGGATTCCACAGGCTCAGCTCAGTAGCAATTGCTTTCTTCAGAAGACTTTGAGTTGCAGCTTGAATGAAAAGTGCCTTTGGACAGGGACTCCTCTCTCCAAACAGACTTCCCATGTGACTAGAGACATTAGTTCCAGGATGGTAAGCCAAAAAGAGAAGGGTTGGAGATCTCTTTCAAGTGCCAAATGTCTGGGTGCCTCTGATTGTTTAACCCACGTTAACCGAGAAGGTCGGGTATCAATGGTAGATGTTGGAGGAAAGCCAGACTCAGAAAGAATTGCAGTGGCTCATGCTGTGGTCCATCTGGGTGCAAAAGTATTTAACTTGGTGCAGCAGAACCAAATTAAAAAAGGCGATGTGCTGACAGTGGCCCAGATAGCTGGAATCCAGGGAGCCAAGCTAACAAGCCAGCTCATTCCACTGTGCCATAATGTCCCACTGAGTCTGGTTGAGGTTACTCTGAGTCTGGATGCAGAAAAACATACCGTAGCCATTCAGGCTCTGTGCCGCACCCACGGAAAAACTGGGGTGGAGATGGAAGCTTTGATGGCTGCCAGTCTTGCTGCTTTGACCGTGTATGATATGTGCAAAGCAGTGAGTCATGACATAGTCATTGAAGAAGTAAAACTCCTCAGCAAGCAAGGAGGCCAGAGGGGTGACTTTAAGCGAGACTGATTAAAGGTTTATTATTCAAGAGATCAACATACCTTATCCTCGGAGTACACTTTTAGCAGCAGCATCTCCAATATTAGTAACCAAAATTCTGATCATTAAGCTTACTAAATCATAACCTGTGGTTTCTCTTGTTTTGGCTAATAACATAGGCTTTGGTCTACTCATTTGCCTGTCGTCTTCCATGTATCGACTGACCTTTTTGCCTGTAAGATCTAAGCTCTCCCACTGCTTTGGTTTGCAGTAGTTCTAAAAGTACACATTTTTAGCCCTTTATTCTGATTTTGTGCAAGGTTTCAGTCTTCCATCTCCTTTTAATTGTCCTAAAATATTCAGTATGCATCTTCTGTTTGAGAATATTCAGATCCAGAATTCTCAGATGAATTATGATTTTAATATCATAACATATCCAAACACTGGAAAATATAAACCGATTCACCTGGATCACTCCCAACTAGACCAAAGATGATTGTGAACAGGAATTTAATTTCAATTTGTCTTTAAAAATGGAAGGTAAATATTTGTTGGTTAGGAATAGTTGCAAACTAATCTGTATACACTCAAAAAAAAATACAGGTTCCCAATAGTACTAAGCACAATTCCTTGCAAATTAACCTTGTTTTCCAGCACCAAATTTACAGAATTTTTTTTTTGTCTTAAAGTTAGACATGATGATCACATGGGACTATTGCATACTGTTTTCTAGGCAACATTTTGGAAGAGGCTTATCATTGCTTTCTTTCTAGGGATAACTATTATTTAATTTTCTTCTAATATTCTAGTCTCCCCGATGATTAAAAATCATCTTCTTTCATCAATCTTAGATATCTTTCTCTTCTCTAAGGTGAGAAATGACATATTTTCTGTAAGGACAATAACTCACCATAATAACTTTCTACAAAAAAAATAATATCTATCCTATCCGTAGTAGCTAAGTGGGCTCCATTGGATGGAGGGATGGTGATCTCCTATGTGTCTTTGTACCCTGACTTGCCTCTTGGAACAGAAGCTTATTATTGTTGCTACCATCTTCAGTATCTTTTAGGAAAAAACTGGCATCTCCCTGCCTAAACCCAATGTGTAGGAGAGTTAAGGTTTTTATATATTGTTATTTTCTGGCAATTATTATGCAAAAGTGAGGAAAAAATTACAGGTAATCCTCAAATTACAACCATAACCTTTCTTGCCCCCAGTTAAATAAATTGCTGCAGTTAAGTTCGTAATACAATTGTTAAGTGAATCTGGCTTCCCCATTGACTTTGCTTGTCAGAAGGTTGCAAAAGGTGATCACGTGATCCCAGGATACTGCAACCGTCATAAGCCAGCTGCCCAATGTCTGAATTTTGATCACGTGATCATGGGAATACTGCAATGGTCTTTAGCGTGAAAAAAGGTCATGAGTCACTTTTTTCAGCACTGTTGTAACTTTGAAGGGTCACTAAACAAATAGTTGTAAGTCAAGGACTACCTGCACTTTACTGCCCACTCCTGATGATATGCCATAGAAATACGTAATTAAGAGTACTGGCTCTCCTTTGGAGATAAACCGATTTTACAAGGTATAAACAAAATTAAACATTTTTTAAAAAAACAAATATTGAATTCAGGTAATTTGTGTTAAAAAAGATAAATTTCAGCGTTCTAATACAAAGATCCAGCAACTGCAAAAGAATGGGGTAAAGAAAAGATCCAATGGGACATACCATAGTAAATGTATAGATTCCAGTAGATCATAGGTGTCAAACTCATCACGTAACGTGTCGTGATGTATTGCAACGTTTTTTGCATTGCCAGAGCTGGGGTGGGCATGGTCTCCGTATGATGCAACCGGCCCACAGGCCAGCAGTTTGACATCCCTGCAGTAGATAGTAAGATGGCCTGATGAAATAAGCTTATACTGGTTTTAAATGGTCAATAACACAGGTTTCTTGAATGATTGGTTTGAAGTGAGAGAAAAATACAATATCCTAAAATTATGCAGAGACATAAAAAGGATTACGACACACATGAAATAGGTTAATCTTCGCATAGTTCTAACTAAACATTTATTAATTTTTTCTAGAGAATAGACCATGCTTGAATCAGGTTTTGTTTCTGGAAATGCCTTTCTTCCTGGAAATTTCTCTTTAATTAGGGGCTGGATGAAAAAGTTGGTAGTTCTATCACTTCCATCTGAGCACAACACTGTCTTCCTTTTTTCTGCTGAAGTTCTTTCCACAGTTTCCTCAAAATACAAAGCTGCCACCATCTCTTGGAGAGAGACATGGTCTATACTCTAGGGCAGAGGTAGGCAACCTTGGCTCTTTTATGACTCGTGGACTTCAACTCCCAGAATTCCTGAGCTATGCTGGCTCAGGAATTCTGGGAGTTGAAGTCCACGAGTCATAAAAGAGCCAAGGTTGCCTACCCCCTGCTCTAGGGTAAATCTCTCTTCTGCATATATGTAGAAGCCCATGCCCAAGAGAAGAAAAATGTGCCCCAGGTATGTCTAAGCCTGACTGGCATGAGGGGCTGGAAAACTGAATGTTAGACTTAATGCCTTCTTTTAATAACACAGTCAGTCAGTCAGTCAGTAAATAACCAAACAAACAACTCTAAATCCCTAGGTGCTCAAGCCCATTATAGTCTTCATATTAACATTGAAGTGGATGTAATTCTTTGTAAGTAAGGCACTGGGATTGAAACAAATCGGACAAAATATCCTAAGTTTCTGGCCACAAATGCATTTTTATTATTTATTTATTAAATTTCCTAGCCTATTTTTTCCTCCCTAGGAAACTTTCGGATGCAAGAGTCTTTAGATACAAATCAGAGTATTTTAGTTCTGAACATTATTGCTTTAAAACTCATTAATAGCATTTTACATTTTACATGAAAGTAGTATCTTTTTCTGCTCTCCTACAGGATTTGGAGGCTGCAGCTTGAAGCTCATTTTGCTAACACTCCTCCCGCTATTTGTGCTTCGCATACATTTGCATAGCAAATACTCCTTCAAGTACACAGAAAAAGGTTTTATTCAAGTTAATTAGATTTTATGCAGAAGATAATCAGAGTATTATCCTTTCCCATTATAATACACGGAAGTCGGTTTCAAGGAGAGATCATTTTGATTCTCTGAGTGAAAGACCAAAGGCCATTGATAAAATAGTGAAATAACAGTGGCACCAAGACACAGTTCTGCATAATGTTGGAATTTGTGAGATTTAATGACCCTTAGTTTTACATCTGATTTTCAAACAGTTGTTTTCATGTAACTTACAAGGGAGCAGATTGTGATCAATTATTGTTGGTGCTATACAGTAATTTATTATAAAGTATTAAATCAAAAACAGTTTTGAAACAAATCAAATGCTGCACTTGAGGTGATATTTGGAACCCAACCATTTTCAGTCAGATGTGATAAAACCTGGTCCATGCATGAGGAGCAGACTGGGTAAAAAAATTGCTTGTTCTATAATTGTTCGTACTTTAATCAAGTCCCAAAAATGGTCATAAATAAGTGCCTACATTTTGCTTATTGTGCTTAAAGGATAATTGAAAAGTGACTCTTTTCCACATTTATTTTTAGTTAATCAGAATAATTATCACAATTTCCTGGAATTGAGGGAAATTATTTATGAACATAAATAGGCCTGGAGTGGCACTTCCCACTCTAGCCTGTTCTGCATTGCTTCGGCTGGGATAAAAACAGAGGTGCTTGATCTAGGATGGAAAGTTTATGGGAGAATTCTCCCACTGAGAATGCGGCTGTCATATAAACCGAAGGGCAGACTGATTTGTTTGCTTTTAAAGAGATAGGGTTCTTCCCAATACACCAAAGGTACATAGGAGGAAAACCAGAATATAACAACTTTTGAATTGCCTTTAAATAGTTCCACATAGAAGCATAGTTGCTTTTTTCCATTTTTTTTCTTAATACATCTAATCCAAGGTGAAGGAATTTTACCTTTACTGTTCATTGCCAATGCTGATTACCACTAGAGAGATCGGACAGGACAGATAACCCTTGAGTTACCGCCATCTTTCATTGCAAGAGCATTACATGCTCTTCAGAGAATGGATTAAGCCGTCTCAGGAAGAAGCTTGAAATGGATAAGATTGTAGAATGCAATTTACTTTTTCCTGCAGTAGACTTTTCACACTATGTCCAAATAAAAGTATTCTCTCCCCCCCAATTGTTTATGTAATTCATAAACTACTGTTCGCACCAAATACTATTCTTGGATTAAATTTTCCTTATGTACGTTTACCTGTTGTAATGTGTGTAAGCATAACGTCAGTTGTATTACTTAGTAAGAGCAATAGTTCAGGTTTATACTTGACACAAGGACCTTAATCACAGGCTGATTGCTGTGGTCACTCCTTGTTTCTTCAATTGCATGGGCTAGTTACATGACGCCATTTAATGGAGCCTACTGACCAACTGACTCTTTTTTTAAAAAAAAAAATATGAGCATAATTTGAGAGATGCATATGCTTGTGTGGTATCTCACAATATTTTGGCTAGTTGAAATATATTGTTTTAAAAATTGATTTAAAATTGTTTTAAAAATTGATATTCTGGCTCCTAGATCAAATTGGGATGTGTTACTGCAGCCTGAAAAGATTGTTGGCGCCATCTCTCGGTGTCTCTTTACAGTTGTTCCATTTAATGTATGTTTTTGTGCATCTGGGTAATTTTAGCTATAAGATTTTAGTTTTAGCCTGAATGTGATTGATTTTTTAAAAAAATTGTTTGCCAAATTTCAGTTCTGTGTGAGAACAGAAAACATAAAATAGCTATAAATACAGAAAGATATGGTGTATGCTCCTTGTTATTCTATTTTTAAGTCTTTATGAATTGAATGAAGTATGTCACATTTGTCCTTATCACAGAACGGAAATGAATAGTTGCTGCTTCACATTGCTATGTATATGGTGAAAAGTAATACATTTTTTATAAGTGCACTCTATAACAAGCATAGGAAATGTGTATGAAACATATCATTAGATTTTGCGGTGGTGTCAGAGAACATCAAGTGTCTCAAGATCACTGAATCTTATAGAAGTCTCTGATGACATGAGAAATTGTTCTGCACACATTCCTGTGATATGAGTGAGATAAACAAGAATGCAACTGTGGGAAACTGTTTCCTCTGCAGCAGTAACATCTAACATTACAAGATGATGGTTTGTCTTAAGGGTGTCTGAGCACTGTTAAAATCTTAATACATTTTACCTTGAGTTGCTTGGCTATTATACTTTCAGCCATTAAGTCTGTAATTTAATATAAAGAGT